GTTCGTCTCCCTCTCTGATTTCTACCCCTTCAAAACCCTTAGTTTGTTTCCCGGGGTCCGTAGTCTCTCATGGTTCGTCTCCCTCTCTGATTTCTCCCCCCTTCAGATTTCCCTCCCTTTCCCTATGGTCCTCTGTGCTATTGCTTATGTTCCACATATGAGAGAAACCACATGATAATTGTCTTTCTCTGCTTGACTTACTTCACTTAGCATAATCCCCAGTACAGACAAAGGGCTGATATCTAAGATCTATAAAGAACTTCTCAAACTCAACACTCAAAAAAGAAATAACCCAGTCAAAAAATGGGCAGACGACATGAACAGACATTTCTCCAAAGAGGACATACAAATGGCTAACAGACACGTGAAAAAATGTTCAACATCGCTAGCCGTCAGGGAAATACAAATCAAAACCACAATGAGATACCACCTTACCCCAGTTAGAATGGCAAAAATTAACAAAACAGGAAACAACAAATGTTGGCGAGGATGTGGAGAAAGGGGAACCCTCTTATACTGTAGGAATGCAAGCTGGTGCAGCCACTCTGGAAAACAGTATGGAGGTTCCTCAAGATGTTAAAAATAGAGCTACCCTATGACCCAGCAATTGCACTACTAGGTATTTACCCCAAAGATACAGATGTAGTGAAAAGAAGGGGCACCCCAATGTTCATAGCAGCAATGTCCACGATAGCCAAACTGTGGAAGGACAATTTAGTTTGCTGGTGGAGAGGGTGGGAAAGTGCCCACAGCCAGAAGACCCATGGACAAAGGTGTGAGCCATAAGAGCATTTATAAGGGCATTTAGCATTTGAGGAACCTGAGCAGTGGTGTGTGGGCTCAAAGAGAGGAGTTCTGTATAGCCAGGGTTCTGGCTACTTTCAGATATATTGTTTTGTTATATTCTCATAACAAGCCTGGGAAGATTGTTGCTGGTGTAGAGGATGAATGAAGGGAAGTAATGCATTTATAAGCTGTCAGCGTAACTTGAGGGTAGATTGTATAGACCCCTTTCTGCCACTCTTGAGTTTTTTACCTTTATTACTCACTGGGAGGTGATAATGTGTACAAAGTTACTTGAAAAACTCAGTATGATGGGCATATTGAAGTCTATGCAAACAAGTCATTTACTCTATGGGAAATAGGAAAATGCAACTGAAAATCACCTCATAAAGTAGTAAGGAGTTGTAAGGTGTTTTTCATTTGAAAATATGTTGGTTTGAAATTTAAATGGCAGTGTGGTCCAGGGCATCTTGCATATCAAATTCTCTTACTCTACTGTGAGCATAGACATGGCCGAGGCCTCAACTTGGACACCTTCAAACCCCCAGTAATTGGTGCCATGTTTAATTCCAGTGGTGTATTCAGTGTGAAAAGTTTGAAGTAATGAAGAAATACAACTTTTGTGTGATCAGTTCTGATTTCAGAATGAGGTTGAATGAAAATTTTATTTGGCTTAAAATGCATATAGAATATAGTAGCAGAATGTAGAATAAACATTTAAGTATTCTTTCTAAGGTTTAAAAAAAAAGGCATTTCTTCTCAAAAGTGATTTGAAGATAACTATTTCTGCTAGTGGCAAAGTTACTAATCCTTGTGATCTAAAGGTTTTTCAGTGGACCTGGATCCTTCCTTCTCTAACTTGAGCTTACCATTGTTGATAGAAGGCATTTCTTTCCAATTCAGTTTTGATTATGAAATTATTCTCAGGTTGTAAGTGGGAGTATTTTTGCCAAAACTACTGAAGGATTATTTTAACTTCCCTAGATTTTCTGCTTTGCTATAGAACAACAGAAAGCAAAACAAACTGTACAAGAAAGATATAGGGCAATTTTAGTTAGTTTCTGTCTTGAATCTCAGCACTGCAGCTACACATTTGGGCTAACAAGCTATGTGAATTACCCTTTTAGGTCAAACTAAATCCAGACATTTCAAGAAATCAGAGAATGAGCTCATACATTTTCATTTCACTTAATTTGTTTGTTAGTTGCTCTACTGGTTCATTATTTTCATTTATTAATTCAGTAAATAGTTATTGAATGTCTATACTTTGTTAGAAATTGTGTACAACAACAGAATAGGTGTTTTTCTTTTTTCTTTTTTTTTTTTCTTAATCAAGAATTGGATAAAGTTTTTTCCTACTTGAGCTATTTTACAGTTACTTATAAAACACTCTTTTCCATCTATTTGAATGAAGCACATGGTATATAATTACTTAAGGGAAATGTCTAACACATGTTATTGATTAAATTAATAAGTTGAACCATATGGAATTGCCATATTCGACCATTTGACCAAGTAAAGCAACAAGTTCGTATAGATCAACATAATAAAATTATGTTATATTTTCATTATGAAATTTCATTATAAAATTAAATATTTTGAATATTTAATCCTTTTTCTAATAAAATTTTCAAGAGTAGCTTTTACTAACAGTGAAACGAGGTAACACACAGCAATTACATTATGTGTTCACATGCCTTTGATGGTTATTAAAAACATATGTTCATTGTTCTTGGTAAACAACTTAAAAATTATGCCTTTTTATCGATAAAGCAAGAACTCATGGCAACATTTATGTCTGTGTTATGCACTAATATTGACAGTGCTTCTTCATTTCAGAAAATTCTGAGCCCTTGAAATATTCAATACACTTCTGAAAATATGAGTATTTTTGCTTTTGTTGTTCATATAGTACAAGTGATTTCTCAATGTACAGAATGTATGGCTTGGCATTTATATAGTTTATGGAGTTTGTAAATATCCAAAGATGCAAAGAGGTGAATCTCTGTGATCAGGTTCTCAGAGGCAAGCTTCTTTCCACTTGAAAAAACTGTGGCCCAGGAGTGGCCATTCACAGGTAAATATAGCTTCAATATGGGTCAATCAAAAATCCAGCCAACTGCAGAATAAGAATCCTGGTGAAAATCAATGTATGTTAAAACTGTAAACACATTCCTTATTTCAAAGAAATATAATAATTTATAAACTGGACATGTTTATAACTCATGAAGTTTAATAGGTAAATCCAAGAGATCCAGATTTGCTTACTGTTACAATCAGACATCAATACTCTTTCCCCATGTGCATTTCACCTTAATATTTGAGTAAGTTTATTAGGTCATTTAAAAAAATTAGTATTGGGGCGCCTGGGTGGCTCAGTCAGTTAAGCGTCTGCCTTCAGCCCAGGTCATGATCTCGGGGTCCTGGGATCGAGTCCCGCATCGGGCTCCCTGCTCAGCAGGGAGTCTGCTTCTCCCTCTGCCACTGCCCCCTCCCCCTGCTCATGCTCTCTCTCTCTCTCTCTCTCTCCTCCCCCTCGCTGTCCCTCTCAAATAAATAAAATCTTTAAAAAAAATAAAAATAATTAGTATTAATAATGTATTTCATTGCCAACACAAACTGAAAAATTGGACTTTGATTTTCCCTTAGGTAGTATCATGCAACAAACACAAAGTGTGTTCCATCAAAAAATAACCAAGCCTTATTTTTTTCCCTCGGGTTTTATAAAACAATTTAATGATTGCAAAATAAAGTCGCAATTAAGAAAAACTTAATTTTTTTTTTTACATTTTTCTGGTGTTTAATGTTTTCTCAAAAGCATATGTGCTAAAGTGTTTGTGCTCATTAGTAGAGCTCAAATTCACATTTTTCACATGGTTTGAGTTTGGTGAAAGGATGAAATAACACCAGCTATATACGCTTAATGAATTGGTTTTCTTTACCTGTGACATTTTTCCAAAACTGTCTTTATGTCCTCCTGGCTTACAGACAGTGAGACACAACTCCGAAGAGACATGGTTTTCTGCCAAAGTCTTGTGGCCACCGTGTGTGCCTTCTCCGAGCAGCTCATGGCAGCCTTAAACCAGATGTTTGACAACAGCAAAGACAATGAGATGGACACGGGAGAAGCCAGCAGAAGGTGGCTGGACCAGATAGCGAATGCAGGTGTTCTTTTTCACTTCCAGTCACTCCTGTCGCCAAACCTGGTAAGGAATCACAATGCCTCCCACTGGAACATACGTTGTAACATGCTCCCAAATAAGAAGTGGTTATTCATTATGTGTCAGCAGTCAGCTACTTGAAAAGAATGCATTTTACCAGGGGCAAATATGATTTGGGTAAGTAGATAGAAGGTATTCCTTCTTTCCTGATTTTTATTTGTTCTCTGGCTGCTACAAGCTGAGAAAGCCTCCATCTGTTACTAATTCCTGTATCCCTAAGCACTGAGAAAGATCATCAGAGGGAAGAGGGTCTTTCTGCTGTGGTTCCCTAATTCCAGTCCAGAAGAAACAGCCTGCCATGAAACCCAAGCTCCCACTGAGGTTGATGTTGGGAGAATGCTTGATAGACAATATCTGACAACTTGCATGCCATACTGTCTGACAGTCTGTTTAAAATTTGTGTATGTTCAATGATTTTATTTCCTTTCTTTGTATGCATGTTTGTCCTGTTAAATCTAAGAATATTCCATATTTATGCATCCATTTCCCACAGTGCCTATGAGGAAAGTATCTCAAAATATTTGACAAATAAAAGTGGTTTTTTAACATATCCTTTTTGTGGTTCTGATAGTTGTCATGATGTTTAAGGCAAATATGTTCACTCTTTATATATACACTTAAGGAGCTCATTAAATAGAATCGTGATTTTAAACATGAGATGCTGTGTCACCCATTAAATTACACACAGAATATGTGGCTACCAAGTAACAGTTGAGTTTTTAAACAGATGTATGTGACTTTATATATCAAAGTGCTTTTCTGCAATGATAATGAGGATAGGGAGGTAATTGCAGAATTGCACAGTCATAAAAGATTCTGGAATGAAAGGTAAGGAAGTCTACCTCAGTGTACTTCAGAGAAAGAGAGGCTTTTGAAAAGACTCTACGCACTCCATGTTAGTGATCAGTTTCTTACTTAGTTGCCAGTAAAACTACGCAGGTTTAACTAATGAAAATTTTGAAATAAGGCACTTTTGGAAATGCTTTAAAATTTAAAAAAAATTAATCATTTCTTATCAAATAGAAATTACATAAGATAGGAAGGCCACTTCCTAACACATGGTAGCATGAAGTGTCTGTTGAATGAGTGAATGAATGAGGCTTCATTCCTATTCTACTCCTACTTTAAAACTGCCATTGTTTAATCTACTAGTAGTAGAATTTCTGGGTAATATGGAAATTCTATGTTTAACATTTTGAAGAAGTGCCATACTATTTTCCAGAATGGCTACACTGACTTCAGTGTCCATCAATAGACAAATGGATATATGATGTACAATACACACACACACGCTGTACACACACACACACACACACACACACACACACAGAGGAATATTACTCAGCCATAAAAAAGATGAGATCTTGCCATTTGTGACAACATGGATGGACCTAGAGGGTATAATGTTAGGTGAAATAAGTCAGACTGAGAAAGACAAATACCATATGATTTCACTTACATGTGGAATCTAAAGAACAAAACAAATGAGTAAACAAACAAAAGACAGAATCAGACCTATAAATACCACAACAAACTGACAGTTGCCAAAGGGAAGGATGGGCAAAATGGATAAAGGGGAGTGGGAGATGCAGGCTTCCAGTTGTGGAATGAATAAATCATGGGAATAAAAGCACAGCATGAGGAAAAATAAAAAAAAGCACAGCATAGGGAATATAGTTAATGGTATTGTAACAGCGTTGTATGGTGACAGATGGTAGCTACACTTGCGGCGAGCATAGCATAACATATAGAGAAGTTGAATCACTATGTTGTACACCTGAAACTAATGTAACATTGTGTGTCAACTATACTCAAATTAAAAAAATATATATATGAAATTTTTAAAAATGGCTGTACTATTTTATACTCCCACCAGCAATGTATGAGGGTTACAGTTTCTCCTTACCAACACTTATGATCATCTATTGGCTTATAGCTATCCACCTCACAAGTGTCACAGTATCTCCCTGCAGGTTTGAGTTGCATTTCCCCAGTGGCTAATGATGTTGATCATGTTTTCATGGGCTTTTTGGCCATTTTACATCTTCTTTGGAGAAACACCTATTCAAATCCTTTGTGTGTTTTTTAATTGAATTGCCTTTTTATTGTTTTAAGTTTTAAGAATTCCTTCTAGAGTCTGGATATAAGTCACTTATCAGATATATAAACTACAAATATTTTCTCCCATTCCTTGGGATTTCAAACAAAATTAAATTTAAAGTAAAAGTCCCAGCACTTGATTAAACTACTACTACTATGTAATATCCAAGAGAAATGAAAGCTTTCGCACAAAAACTTGTACACTGATATTCTTTGCAATATTATTCATAATAGCTTAAAAGTAGAAACAGCCCAAATGTCCATGAGTTGCTAATTGGATAAATGAGTTGTGGTACAGACATACCATAGAATATTATTCAGCAATAAAAGAAGAATGGAATGCTGACACATGCTACAACATGGACGGACCTTGAAAACATTATGCTGAGTGAAATAAGCCAGTTGCAAAAGACCACGTATTATCTGGGTCCATTATTATGTTATATGTGAAATAAGCAAATTTCAGAGACTGAAAGTAGACTAATGGTTGCCTGGGGCCCAGGACTGGGGAATAGGATGTGGGGCATGAATACTAGTGGTATGGAGTTCCTTTGTAGGGTGGTGCAAATATAGTAAAATTAGATTATGGTGTTAGTTGCACAACTCTGTGAATATACTAAAAACGCCTACGCTATACACTTTAAATGGTGAATTTTATAGTATGTGAATTACATCTCAAGAAACTGTTTTTTTCTTAGTCTTTTGAAACCCTTAACTTCATTTAAAGATTTGATAAAAAATCCAAAGTTGCTTTAAAAATAAACCAAAGAAACCCATATTTTGTCTGCCTCTGGTAACAAGTGCATAAAAAGTGTGGAAGGTTCTCTGGGAGCTGCAGGAGCCGGGAGTGTGTGTGTTCCTGATCTGAGCACAATCCGTAGTCACCTGGGTATCACTTTAGCCACATCTGCTGAAGCGTCATGGCTTGCACTATAGCAACCAGAGGCCCACCTGTTTGGGACATCTCTTCTTTGTATGTATTCTTCTTAATTGGGAAGATACTGATTCTTCAGTCCTGTCCTTCCTATTCCAGGTTCATGGCATATACTCTTGCTTACTTCAATGGACTTTAAAAAATAACAGTTCACTAAACATTTTTCCAGCACTTACTGTGTACCATATACTGCATTAAGTACCGAACCAGGGTGCAAAGGTGATGATTGTCTTAATTTTTTGGTTTCCATGCTGTAGATCTTTGGGATCTGGGGTTGCCTTGGTGATTCTTTTTCACACAACAGACATTCTTTACTATCTCCTTCACCCTCTGTTCATGTGGCCCGAAAAATATGCCTATAAGCTTATGGCAACTTTTAAAAATGTATATAAAGTGGGGCGCCTGGGTGGCTCAGTCAGTTAAGCATCCAACTTTTGATCTCAGCTCAGGTCTTGATGTCAGGGTTATAAGTCCAAGCCCTGGGTTGGACTCCACACTGGGGTTGGAGCCCACTTTAAAAAAATGTATATTAAAGCATGTTAAAATCATTATTTAAAAGGATCATTGATATTCTTAAGGAAACAAATGTTACATTTAAAAGATAAGCTGTGTATGATAAGGCTAATAATTCTTTCTTCATGCACAAAACTGCTAATAGGAAGGTCAGAAGGTAGTACTAGAAAGATAATATTGCTGAGACATGCACTGAACTTGTTACCACGTCTGGGCCTTACTTGCCTCAGCTGTAAAATAATATGCTGTTAGAATGAAAGGAGTGATTAAAACAAATCAGATTGCATAGTCACAGGATTTTAGACTAAGGCCCTATAAAGGCAAGTAAGATAAAAATGATTCTTGTCCCCAAGATCTTTGGAAGAAAAATCATTGCATACATGCAAATTGCTTTTATTATTATAAACAGGATGGCAACTATGTACTGTAGCTTTTCAATAAAATGATATTCTTGCCTTTTAGCTGTTACATTTTTAAGATTATAGAAGTTTAGAGGCAGATAGATGCTTATTGTATACACATTTTTTTGTAAATGTTAAAAATCATTATGAGGAATTCTTAATCTCAGGAAACAAACTGAG